ATAAAGTTCATGAAGTGCTTCTTGCATTTCTTCAAAAGTATAGGAGTCGGAAGAAATGGTACATACCTCTTGGACGTCGTCGTTTTGATCTTCGTGCGCCATGAGGCAGAGATTTGCAGCTTCGTCCTCCTCTTGGTCGGTTGATTCGTCGCCGGAATCGCCACCCCAAGAGATGTAAGCCCTTTGCTTCTTGAAGCCGGGCTTATCCTTGTCGTGTTTAGCTTTTGGACACCTTGGCTTGATGTGGCCAATCTCGCCACAACCATAGCACTTGGGAGGACCGTCGTGCTTCCGTCCCTTCCGCTCAAATTCCTTCTTCATGAACTTGTGGAACTTCTTGATGAAAAGTCCAAATTCGTTGTCATCATCGCTTGAAACCTCCTCAATGGTCTCCTTGGTTGCTTTGAGCGCTATTCCTTTCTTCTTTTGTTCATCCAAAGACGGGGTTAGAATAGTAGATTCATAAGTTTTGAGGATACCTCTTAGCCCGTCAATGGTGACATTGGAGACTCCGATGGACTCGTAGATTGCATCGGCTTTTGATCTCCATTCGGGTGTGAGACTCCGCAGGATTTTCCTCACGAGATCCTTGTTGGCATAAGTCTTTTTGAGAGCATGAAGGTCGTTGATGATCTTTGAGAATCGGTCGAACATGTCATCGATTTTCTCACCTTCTTTCATTCGGAACATTTCGTACTCTTGGGTGAGAAAATCAATCTTGGCTTCACGAACTTGATCAGTACCTTCGTACGTCACTTCAAGCTTGTCCCACATCTCCTTGGCGGTTGTGCAGCAGGAGATTTTCCGGTAGTCATTGGGGTTGACCGCACAATATAGCATATTGATGGCCTTTGCATAATTCTCAATCTTCTTGATGTCCTCGACATCAAACTCATCTTCGGTCTTGGGGATCAACTTGTCGTCAACTTTCTTCATCGGTATTTCCTCTCCGTTTTTGATGACCAACCATAATTGGAAGTTGGTGGAACGGATATAGATTCTCAGCCGTTCCTTCCAATAGGAATAGTTGGTGCCATCAAAGAGTGGTGGCCTAGAAGTTGATTGACCTTCTCCAATTCCTGCATAGAGATTTCTAGAAGAAGAACCCATGATCGTTTTACTCTCAAACGGTTAAGTTTGGACGCGAGTTAGGCTCCGATACCAATTGTTAGAATAATAGACCAACGCTAGAGGGGGGTTGAATAGCGTTTGATCAAGAATTCGCAGGAATAAAAATGAATAAACGAGAAGTAAAGAGAAAATAAAGAGGCACACCGATTTTACCCTGGTTCACCACAACTTGTGGCTAATCCAGCCTCCCGAGAGACTCTCTCGATCTACACTACTATCTCGTTAAGCTTAACGGTGCTTAACAAACCCGTACAACTTGAGAATTCGAGTCACACGAACCTCAACGAACCTTCGAAGGAAACAATCCTTCCTTCGAACAACAAGAGAAATACTTTCTCTTGTCAAGTGTCTAAGAACACTAAAAACACTCAAGAACAATACTCTCTTTTAGAGTGGATAATTTAGTAACAAAGAACGCTCAAGAACACAACACAAGCTTCACAAAAATGGCTCTCAAAAAGCTATGAATAAAGAATGAGTGATTTGCAATGAAAGAGTAGGAGTTGTGAAGTCAATGTTATGTCTAAAACAGACCCAAACACCCCATTTTATAGTGGAAAAATAGGCTCCAACGCACCAAAACATTTAAGGGGTGATTTGCACAATTTGTGGGATTTGATTAAATTTGGATCTGCTGAAATTCACCCAGACAGCGCTGTCCTAGGCTTGGACATCGCTGTTCTAGGCTTGGATTTTTAAAATTGGTAAGCAACTGTCATGCCAACAGCGATGTCCAATATCCCTACATCGCTGTTTTGGCTGCTGACTTCTATACAAGGAAAGTTTTAGCCTTAAATTCCTTCCAACGGTCAGGTCCCTACATCGATGTTCAATACTAGAACATCGCTGTTTAGGTCTGACTTTGAAGATGGAAGTTTGGCCTGACAGCGCTGTTGCTGGGTAAACATCGCTGTCCTGAAACTTTCTGCCAATGCACCATATTTTTGGCTTAGGTTGGACAGCGCTGTAGGGAAGCCTACATCGCTGTTCCAGAAGTTTCTGGAAATCCAACCTTGGCACAACAGCGATGTCTAGTGTGCAATATCGCTGTTGGAAGACGTAACGCCAAACTATGGTTTTCAGCTACTCAAGTCAGACAGCGCTGTTGGGTGCACCAACATCGCTGTTGGGCTGGTTTAACCAGACCCATGGTTTGTTTAGTCATGCCGTTAGCCGATGTCAAAAACGTAAGTTCTCCAAAATAAAAACTAAGTGTTGAAAACATTTTTTTATTGCATTTTGCTAAGAAATCAAGTAAAACAACTCAAAAACCACGTCATTTAGTTGAAAACCACGGCTAACCAAGTTTGTATCGTTTTGCATGGTTTTCACTAAGCGACCATAAACGGAAGGTGGTTTTTGAAGCGTTTTTGTTGGAGAACTGTTTAAATATGCCCAGAAGTAAAACCAATCATAAAAAGTTAAAAACCACTTGGTTGGTTCGGATGCACAAAAACCAATGCCGAAAACCGAAAGCCGAACGCCGGTTTCTGAAAGCCGAACGCCGGATGACTTGGTTTTTGGTTTGGGCAAACTCCAAGTGTTTTTATCCAGGTTTAAAAACTTATGAAAAACATTTTTTAATTTGCAAAAAGGGTTTTGATGAATTGAGCCTAGAGAGCCAAGATTTGGAAGTTTGTGCCGGTCTTGATCACATTAAGACCAACTCGATGCAATTCTAATTCTTTGTTCTTGATTCTTGGTTCTTGGTTCACATGTCATCATGCCGTGTTTCTTCGCCTTGGTTTTGCTCACTTTAGCCTTGTTGTGTCACGGCGGTTTGGCATTATAAAAACCTGTCATAAAAACGAACACAGTTTAGTACGACGTAGGCGTAAACCCGTGTTCCAACAATTTCCCCTTTTTTGATAATGGCAAACAAGACGGGGATATGCATATTAAGGGATATTTGATTTTCAAAAAGTTGTGAAAAAGTTCCCCCTTAATTTGTGCTTAAAAGAAATTAGTCGGATTAAAATCAAACAGTCTCCTTTTAGAGGCGTTCCACCTTAGTATATGCATAGCCCTTTTCTTCCCCCTTTTGACATTAACAAAAAGATAAAAGATAACTTTTATTTATTGAAGATGGGAAATAGAAGAGTACAACGGAAGCATTAAGAAACATGATAATTAAAATAAAAGAGAGAGAAATTTTAGGGGCGTCCTAGTCTTCGTCTTCTGTTTCCTCCTCGTCGTCGTTGACGTCCATCTCATCACCATCAACGACGTCGTCGAACTCGTCCTCGTCCGGGGAGCTTGACGGGGCGTAGGAGCCATCCTCTTCGTCCTCGTCACCGTACACTTGCCCAAGGAACGTGCCTTGGTACGGTGGGGGGACTTAGTTGACGCGTTGGAAGTATGCATTCATGGCGTGCCCTTGGCGTTGAATAGCCTCGTCGAGCCGCTCAAGGTAGCCATCCATCCTGTCAACTTTGAAGTGAATCTGGTTGAGGGAGTCGGCGATGGAGGCTGGCAAGGTTGGCCCGGGCCTGGGGTTCGGCTGGGCTAGCAGCAGAACGGCGCCGTGGCACGGCAGTGGCAGGTCCGGCGTTGTCTGACCGCATCTTAAAGGTTTGGGTGCTGATCGCCCAAATGTTCGTGGCCTTCGTGAGTGGGCCAACGGTGGTGGTCACCTTGAACCGTTCAAGGATGTCCATAACCACGAACAGGTACGGGAGGAGGTGATCGTGGTCGGTGGACGCGGCAATCGTCATGTTGATCATGACAAACTTTGCCCAATTGATTGGGGCCGAGTGCATGATCGCATGGATGAGCTTGAGGTCCTCACCGGACATGATTGTGTGGCCGTGCTTACGGGGTTTGATGATCCGGGACACGATGTAGAGAATGAGACGGCCTTCGGGGTTAGCGGAGTGGATGGTGGGGCGGCCCGAGGCATGGCGGATGAGTTCAGTGATGCCAAGCTCGTTGAGGATAAGGCCCTCGTTGTTGAGGACCCAGTCCTCTCCGCCATAGTGGGAGACGTCGTCGCCTTGGTAGGGGAGGCCGGCGATGCGCCCAAGCTGCTCAACGGAAAGCTCTATCGGCGTGCTCTTGACAAGAGAGTAGAGCACGTCGCCCTCACGCCGGAGGTTGGAGTAGAAGACCCGAATCAGCGCCGGGTTGTTCTCCTTCCAAGCCCGGGAGACGAATGGCCAAAGGCCGACTTGATGAAGCTGCGCGTCGAGGTCGTCGTAGCCCTCCAGCTCCGGGTAGCGCTCCAGGATGATCCGTGGAGGAGCCACGACCCGTTTAGAGAAGAAAGTGAGAAAGCGGGTGCGCTCCTCCTCGGAATCGAACTAGAGGTACGATCCGTCGCCATAGTAGAGGCGTTCCTCGGTGGATGTCGTAGGCGCCCGGGATTTGGACTTTGATTTCCCGGAGGGGGCAGCCCTGCTCTTGTCCTTGCCCATGAAAAAAAGCTCAAAAGAGGAGAGTAGAGATGATGAAATAAGCAAAGATGTTGAAGAGAATTGTGTTTGTGTGTGTAAAAGTAAAGAGAGGGGGTCCCAATTTATAGAAAAAAAGGTCTCCAACGTCCAGATTTTCAAAAATATGGCTGTTGGATCAATTAATGCTGGTGCTAACGGATATTTTTTTGAAAAATTTATCCAGGACAGCAATGTTCCAGAGGCTACATCGCTGTTGGGATAGCGCTGTTGTGCATCAAGTTTTAAAAACAAGTGTTAAATGGACAGCGATGTTGGGTACCCTACAGCGAGGTTCCCAAAGTTTCTGGAAATATGTAAGGGGTTGAACCCATTAGAACAGCGCTGTTGGGTTTCCCTACATCGCTGTTTTACGATAGAGAAAAAAATTTATAAAAATGGACATCGATGTTGAAAGTGGGACATTGCTGTTTGAAAAGTTTCTGGTTTTTGTTGAAAAACAAGGTGTTTTGGGTAGACAGCGATGGTTTTTAAGCAGGAACATCGATGTTCAAAAAGTTTCTGGAAAGTGAAGAGTAAGGGACTCCCTGGGACAGCGTTGTTGGCGTGTTGTACAGCGCTGTTGGCACAAACTGGTTGACGGTGTTTCTCTCAACAGCGCTGTTGGGTCTCCTGGACAGCGCTGTTTGCATGGTTCCCCCTGATTTTATGAACGGGGTACCTGCGAAAAAGAAAAAAAAAGTTCTCCGACGCTCAAGTTAGTAAACGTTTAACAAGTTTAGATCCACAACTTAGGTCATCGTGGAGTCAAGGATTCCGAGTTCACTTCGGTTACGACTGCAGGTGTTTCACGAAGGCTGCAGGTGTTTCACGATAATCGACTATTGAAGGCTGCAGGTGTTTCACGAAGGATGGATAATCGACTACTAAGAGTGATAATCGATTATTTGGCATCTCGGGACAGGAAAAGAAGTATTTCTTAGGAAAGAGGAACAAGCCAAGTTGGTGTCAAGGGATATCACACACCCTTATCTTAACTTGGGGTTGAGTCTAGCATTCAAATAAGATATTACACACTTATTCAAATAACTAGAACCTAAAACTCACACTCAAGAGAACCACTCTTAAGATATAGGATTAGGAATTTAGAATGAAACACACAAGTGAATCACTTTGATTTTTAAATGGAACACAATGTGTTTCTACACCTAGGACTATTGCTGAATATATATGATTACATTGGAGGGAATAAGGGAAAATGCAACTCACTCAAAATAATGCCCATGTGCTTATGTTTCTTGAGTGGAATGAAATCAGGGATATGGGTTGTTTGGTGGGGTTTTGGGTTGTTCCTGAGTTGCAGGAAATGTTGGGGGAAGGAGGGATGAATGTGGGGAGGGATGAGGTTGAGGGCCAAGGAGTGGGGGTAAGATGAAGTAGTACATTTGGCTGGGTATTTGTGGAGGTTTTGGGGAATTTGAATTTGGTCAGGGTTGGGAGACAAAGGGGTGTGTGTGGGGTGTGTCATTTGGAGTTTTGTTGTAGGTTTGTTGTGGGGAGTGGATGTATTATTGTGAAAGGAAAATATCCCTGAGCATTTTGGGTTATAATTTGAGTGTATTGGGGAACATAATGGGGACCATGTTGGGTGTGTTTTTGGACACTTATTTTCGGCATTGTAAAAGAAGAGGAAAGGGAAATTGTGGCTTGGTTTTCTTTGGATTCCTGGGAAAGGATTGTGAAATGTTGGGATTGGTTATTAAGGTGGTGATGGGTTTAGGGTAAGTAATGTAGGGTGCATGGTTTGGTGATGATTTTTGAAATGCCCTGAAAACCGGCTTAGTAGTTAGCCGTTATATTAATAAAAATGAACATATTATTTATTAACTTCAAAATATTAATTATTTGTAAGTTGACCATTTTAACTAAAAGTTAGGTTTTCGGGTAGATCTCATAAAATGGTGACTAACGGTGTATAATTTGTTAAATTTGGACATATATGTAAAGCGTGGTGAGTAAAATAGATAATACATTTTAATAATAAGTTAAAAAAATGTTGTAATATGATATTAGAATAAATATTAGTAATAAAGAATTGGCGTCCGATCGTTTTCCAAACCTGAAGAAAAAGAGGGCCACTTGAAGGTATTTAATGTACGGAGTCCATCCAATCTCCATCCCCATCTGTCTTCTTCGTTTCGCACGCAACCAAGGTCAATCGCCAGAAAGCTTCGCTAGGCATCGTCGAGAAAGCTTCGCCGGAAATCTTCACCGGAAAGTTATATCTTCGTCAATCGAGGTGAGTGGTGGTATCTCTGGTTAAAATTGATTCGTAGATTAGGATTTGTTGATATATTCTCATTCAATTGACGTTGAATTTGTGATTATGGTTATTAGATTGTGTGATTAATTGTGTTTGGATTCGAAATTAGCATTGGTTTTTGGGAAATTGGGATTGGATTGTTCCTCCTCTCGTTTTTCCGTTCGGTCTCTATTCTGTTCTTTCTATGTTTCGCCCAAATCTGCTGTGTACAACGATTCTTTGGCCTCGTGCTAGTACGCTGGTCCATTCGTCTTTGCCGTTGTTGCAGTGTCGCAGTTCGGCGGCGGAGATGCTGCTGTCCACCGTACTCGGGCAATGACACACACGGACTGAAGAATTCTGCTAGGCCGCTGGACCTTGTCGCCGCCGCTGTGTTCAGGTCGTCTAGTTGCTGCCTAGCCGCCGTGAGGAAACCGTGAAGTTGCTGGGACGCCGATTGATGCTGCTGGATTGCTGCTCTGTTCCATCGCTAGAGCAGTGCAGACCTGTTCTTGTTCTTCTTCTACTTACGAACAAAATAAAGGAACAAAAATATAGTTTTGTTATTTGCAATTTGGCCCAAGTCTTTAAATTGTTTTCAATTTGGCCTTCTTCATACTTTGACCTTAAAATTTAAACATTGAACTGTTGGACATGAGTTCAAACCCCTTTTACTATTTCTTCTAGAATATTTTTTTGTTTTGATGAATGACAAACAGGATGATTAATCTCAAGCTGATCGAAAATTTATTTTTTGTATCGAGAAAAGCAAAGAAGGGTATCAAGAAGTTTATGGCGATAAAAATCGACGATCACCCCTACGCAGATTTTTTGAAATAAAGTTAAGACTCCGAAGACTTTTTTTTAATTAAGTCTAAGAATCTTTGTAAGGATGACAATATTTTCTGCACAAACAAATTAATTTTTGAGGGTTAAAAATTATTATTTCTTGAGTCAGTTGAAAAATTATTTTTTCTCTGTCCAAAAATATTTTACTGAGTCAGTTTCAAAATAAGTGTGTCAAAATTTCTTAAAAATATTTTTAAAGATTACACAATTTTTTTTGGTAAGAAAAATATACTTTAAATATTTTTCGTGTACATCGTTTGACACACAAAATAATTTTTGGACTCTTTTTCTCCCCTATTCAAAATTCATTGAATAAGGGATACTTTCTCTTGAGGAGCGTTCGTGTCTCAAACAAACGAGTATAAGCCAATTCACTTCTTATCGCAACTGGCTTGGGCCCTTTGTGTTGCGCATTATTTCCTCCATAATCGATCATTTGCCTTCATATAATTGATTAATAGGCTTTTCGTTGGATTCCCCTGGTCTGACCAATAATCGATTTTTTGTCTTCAATTAATCGATTAGTTCGGACAGAGCCGACTAATCGATTTTTAGGCCTTCCTTTAATCGATTATTTCTGTTCTTCTATTCAGGATTTTCGCCTCTGTGTACCGTAATCGATTTATCTATCTACGTTAATCGATTAATTTTATCTAGTGCATATCCTCAGCTTACTTCAGCAGTTCTTTTTTCTCAGCCTATTTAATCCTCATTCTCCTTCATTTTAAGACACATCTCTTGCACTCCAATATATTCTTTGAGCTATATTCATCCTTTGCTTCATCTTCCTCATCAAAATATTATTTTTGAGAGTTAGAAATATTTTCTTTGAGTGCTAAAGAAGTTGTCATCCATAGAGCTTTAATTCTTCAACACTACTTTGCTCAATTGTGTGAGCTTTCATTCTTGTGTTGTAAACTCAATCTCATTTGAGTGTTGTTCTTAAGACTTGTGTGACTCAAGTCTTGTTGTTGTAAGAAAGTGAGGCTTGTGTGATTCAAGTTCTCAAGTTGTACCGGTTTTTCAAGCACCCGTTGAAGCTTGAAGATTAGTAGGACTTTCGAGAGAGTCTCTCGGAGGACTGGACTAGCCACGAGGTGGTGAACCAGTATAAATCTCGGTGTTCTTCTTTCCCTTACTCTCTTTATTGATTCCTGCGATTTTATTATTTCACACACGCGAAAAACGCACATTCTTGAAA